TGTCTGTGGGGGGGGGGATGCTGCCTTTCTCTCAGAGCCTCCCAGAGCAGCGCTTGGCTCCAAAACTGTTAATGAGAAAAGCCAATCTGCTGAGGACGACCCTCCTAAGGTGTAAAGGTTGGCACCTTCCAGCCCACCGCCCTTCTCGTTAGACTTTCTAACAACCTGCTGGTATTCCTAGACAGAGCCAAGAAATAGTTAAGGCAGAGGGGGAAGGATGGATGAGCTGCCCCTGGACTCTGCATCGCCCGGCCGGGCAGAAGCGATGGGACAGGGTCCCTGGGAGCGATGGGACACACAAGGGTCCCTGGGAGCGATGGGACAGGGTCCCCGGGAGCGGGGGTCCGGGCTGGCCGGAGCGGTGTACATGCCGCTGGGGGCACTATGTTCTGTTTGTGTTCCTATTTCTGGGCTGGAAGAACAAACAGGGAAGTGGTTTTCTGCAGTCTCATTGCAGCTCACAAACAGAGCGCAGAATTCAGCCGGTGTTGCTCAACTGTCACAGCGTCAGAGGTGACGGCGCAGGGGGGGACCGAGCGCGGCGCATCCCTTAGCGTGCGGATGAGCGCTTGGAAGAGGTGATGAGCAAATAACTGGTGGTGGTTGTTGGTTATTTGTTTTTTTGGTGTGTTGTGTTTTTGTTTTTTTTTTACTGCAACTTGTGCAGGTTTCTGTGCCTGTTCCCTGCCTGCACAGGCATGGATGAATTTCTCTAGTTTGCTTGCCGCAATCCAGAATGGTTCATTCTTGCAGACACGGTGCTGTGGTGCCACCAGGAGCTTCTGAATCCCACGTGGACTTGATATTTGCAAGGAGCCAGGAAACATTAGTGGACTCCCCAGAGCAGAAGGATCCTGGAAGGATTTGCAGAGGGCAAGGATTTGGGCAGAAGCAGTTGTTTGTCGGCGGAAAGGCTGAATTGAGGCATTTTTTGGTTTGGTGCATGCAGGGAGAGGTGCCCAGGTGGGACAGGAGCTCAGGACCTGGGGCACACACATCTCTGTGTGCCATGCAGAGCACTGCTGCCTTCCCTTCTCCCAGCTTCCACGGGCTGGGCAAAATTGCATCTCCAAAAACTCTTGTTGAGCCCTCCCCTGCTGGGAGGAAGGACCAGGCAGCCTCAGGCCATCATCTCAATTTTACCGCCAATCCTGTGGCTAATTTGTCCGAGGTCCTAGTGATTTACATTTGTTTAGGTTGATGGAGGGCCATCATCTTCCTTGCTTTAGCATTTAGCTGCCTTTCTCAGCTTGAACAAAGGCAATGCTGAACATGTGGTAGTTTGCAAGCAATTCCGTTTTCGGGTTTAGCGCAGGGCTATGCCTGTGGATGGGAGTTGCAGACACTTCAGGGGGATGTTCATTTGTTTATAAAAGAAACCCACATCTGTTTCTGTTTGAATTTTTTAAGCAAGCATACATAGAAACCTTTCTCTTGGTTTCTGGCTCCGCAAAAGCTGGATTTTGGGCCAAGTTTGACCTAACAGTGACCTTTTCAAAGTATTACAAATTTTTTTGGTATTTGTTTATGACTGTAATAATGATGCCATGCGGGGAATGGGTCAGTTAAAGGTGAAATTAGCTTCTAATGTAAACAAAGGATTAATTTTGGAGCGGAGACCGTATTTTGTAGAGACTTGAAATTGCTTAGTAGCACACCAACCGAATTGCTCCCGAGCCTTTGCTCCGTGGGAGGGATGTGGGCAGTGGGTCCCCCTGCACCGGGTGCCGGAGGAGGGGTGTCGGAGCCCATGGCTCCCCCTGCCACCATCAGACTTTATAACCCTGTGCTCTGGATGGGGAAATGGCCCAATTACCCTTCTTCTAACAGTAAATTCCTCTGTTAAGTGCCATGCGGTTTACTACTGGTTTGGCTGCTCAAGAAGATGAGTCCCTCAGAAAAGAGCATCTTCATGGCACCGCCGGGAAGTTAACCATTTTATGAAAAGATCTGATTGAGCTCTGTGGTTTCGGCCCCAAATTTTGCTCCCTTCAGGCACACAGTCCCCCGAGGGACGTCGTGTGCCATAGTTGGAGGTAACACCATCCCCTACACAGGCGGTGGTTACCTCTCAGTGCTGCTGTGCTCGGGGATGTGTAGACTTTGCTCGAGCCAGAGTTTCGTTCAGAGCGGTTGGAGGCAGTTGGGTTCAGAGGATGCTGTCTTGGATCCTGCCAAACAGTGGCAAAATGATTTGCTGATGTAGTGCCACTATTGTACCTGCAGTGTGAAGCGCTTCTGTACGTGAATGTAAATTCATAGTGTTACACAGTGAGCGTGTAAAAGTGTGTTGTGTAGGGCAGGAGCAGGATGCAGGGACCAGGTTCACTTAGAGGGATGATCGGTGCATCTTCTCAGGTGGGTATCAGAGCCTGTGTCCTGACATCTGTGCCGTGCATTAATCATACGCATTTTCCCCTCCCTGGGAAAGAGAGCGATGGCAGTGACGCTGTCTTGCCGTAAAGGCAAAGATGGGAAACACTGGAAATTCCCCCGGCTATGGGTAGCGTTCCTTTGCTTCGGCTCAGGTGTTTCTTTTCCCCATTGGCTTCGGCTTAGTCAATCGCTGTGACGAGGAATTCCAGAATCAGTAAAAGCATAGCTCCAGCTTTGCGCTCCAAAAGCCCGTTTGCCACTTCAAACCAGTAGGAACCAATTTAAGATGTTCCAGTAGAATTTCTGCTGGGGAAAAAAAAAAAAAAAAGTAAGTAAACTGCAGTTAGAGCTGTCTTCAATATCATTTTCCCCAAGCAAAATCTAATGGCTATTGGGAATAAGGCTGGTTTAATAACATCTGTATCCCCTTGAACTGCTGCGGGAAAGTATTGATATTGCCATATTCTCAAGGAACGTTTTAAATCATGTTTTGACAGGGCAATGCCGTACCACAACACTGATAGTTAAATGTTTATGATACTTTGTAGTATTATCCCTTATGATGCTGTGATAAACCATCGCAGGTATATTGTAAAATACAGGCGTTGCGAGGGTTTTATATGTTTATACGGAACTTTTCCTGTTGTTGGGGGGTCAATGGCATGCTCTAGCTGGTTACCCAGGCTGCGTGCTGCTGGTACCTGCTGTGGCCAAGCCGCGCTAAACCGGGGGTTTATTATCCTTCCCACTTAGCACTTGTGGAAGCGGTAGCGTCTGTGCCATGTTAACACCCTTAGATTCTTACAAAATATCTCAGAAAGTACTAGGACGATATCCAGGAGATTAACATTGTTTCCTGCGGGTGTATTTTAGCTCACAGCCTGTCGGATAGTTGTCAGGTCCATGGGTAGCACTTGCCATCCAGAGCGCCCAGAGTCCTGTGTTGGGGGCCACGTTGATCAGCCACCAGCCTAAACTGGGTCTTCAAAAGTTAAAACTTTTCTCTCTCTCCTCTCTCTCTCTCCTCTCTGTCTTCTTTCCTTTCTCCTTCCTTTCTCCTTCCTTTCTCCTTCCTTTCTCTTTCCTTTCTCTTTCCTTTCTCCTTCCTTTCTCCTTCCTTTCTCTTTCCTTTCTCCTTCCTTTCTCCTTCCTTCCTTTCTCCTTCCTCCTTCCTTTCTCCTTCCTCCTTCCTTTCTCCTTCCTTTCTCTTTCCTTTCTCCTTTCTTTCTCCTTTCTTTCTCCTTCCTTTCTCCTTTCTTTCTCCTTCCTTCCTTTCTCCTTCCTCCTTCCTTTCTCCTTCCTTTCTTTCTCCTTCCTCCTTCCTTTCTCCTTCCTTTCTTTCTCCTTCCTCCTTCCTTTCTCCTTCCTTTCTTTCTCCTTCCTCCTTCCTTTCTCCTTCCTTTCTTTCTCCTTCCTCCTTCCTTTCTCCTTCCTTTCTTTCTCCTTCCTCCTTCCTTTCTCCTTCCTTCTTCCTTTCTCCCTCCCTCCTTCCTTTCTCCCTCCCTCCTTCCTTTCTCCCTCCTTCCTTCCTTTCTCCCTCCTTCCTTCCTTTCTCCCTCCTTCCTTCCTTTCTCCCTCCTTTTTTCCTTTCTCCCTCCTTCCTTCCTTTCTCCCTCCTTCCTTCCTTTCTTCCTTTTTTTTTCTTCCTGTAGCATCTACTGGTACAGGCACTTGACTTTCAGCTCCCGAGTGCTCGGTTCCCGAGGGGCGAGTTCAGAAGAACCCGCTGATTTGAAGCGCTTCTGTGGCTTATTCAAAGTCACAAAACAAATCGGCAGCCGAGCTTGAAATGGGCTCTCCTGGCCTCCTAATCGTGGCGGTGGTACCCGCTGCTGTGGTTTTGCCTCCGAGAGGATGGAGAAGTCCCAGCAGTCGTGCAGAAGCCACTTGCTTTCCCCCCAGGAGCTGCGGTGCTGGGGGGGCTGCACGGCTGTGATGGGAAGCGCGGTGCAGGCTTGGCTGTGTGACGGGTACACCAGAACTCTTAAAAGAAGTAGATACCGCCTGAGTGGGAAGATGAGTCAGAGGGTAAAACCCCGGTCTCATGGTACAGAGGGGTACTCTTCAGCTCCGGGGTGCGCGGACTTCCCCCTGCAGACATACTGAGAGGGCGCATAGTTTCCATTCTTCTGTCTCTGCACTTCTCAAATTTGCAGCCCAGATGGGTTTTTGTCTTTTGTCCTGTCCCAACAGCCCCACGGTCGGTGGTGGTGCCCGTCGGTGGGGCATCCTCTGTGGTGGGGCATCCTCTGTGGTGGGGCATCCTCCCTGGTGGAGCATCCTCCGGTGGGGATGATGCTCTTGCAGAGGGAGGGCCATTTGGTTGCGAGTCCTGCATAGGCAAATCACCATGCAAAGCTGAGTGATCAAAATGTACTCACTGTCCCGCCTGAGAGCCGGGGAAAGCTGGTAGAGAAACACTGACACCCTTAAAGTTTTAAAAACGAACCGTATGAGGATTGTTCTCTTCCTTTTTTTAGGCCCCTGGGTAGTTGTCTGTCATGAGGGTGAGTGCTGGCTGGTGCTGGGATAACTGGTGTGCAGATACTTGGAGATAACAGCGATTTGGCGCGGAGATGAGTTTCCTGGGACTTAAGTGTAATGTTCAATTTCTTTTGTTACAGATGGAAGAAAAACGACGCAAGTACTCGATCAGCAGTGATAACTCAGACACCACTGACAGTAAGACCTTTAATTCAAGGCTTTGAGCGAGATAACTAAGCGATTCACCTCCAGCAGGGAAAACGCTTGAATAATTACTTTGCAAAGAGCGGAGGAAGCTGCATTTACTGGGAAGTCTCCCGCACAATGAATTGTGCGCCGGGCTGGGTTTGTCAGAAAAGCAGCAACAAGCTGATATCAATTTAAACGCGCGGCTGTGGCTCCTCTTAACTGATGAGAGCGTCTCCCTCGTGTGAGGAGTCTGGGCCGGGGAGAGCTGCTGATTGCAAAGCCGCTAACGAAGCAAACACCCTTTGCAGACAAGTTGTCCTTTCCCGCGAGCTGCAGCTTGAGACCAGTTAGCTCTTGAGCGAGTCGTACTGGGGGAAAAGGAAGTTTTTACTGGAGTCAGGGTAAAACCGGAGCCGCCTTATTCCCTTCTTGTGAGCTGAGGAGTGATGTGGGAAAAGGGATGAGGCTCAAGCCAGCAAAGCTTGCAAGCCCACGCTTGCTTTTCGACATCTACCTCACTTCATCCTCATTCAGGGAAGCACAGAAGCATGTGCTCAACAATAAACATGTGCGAATGTGCTGAATTTTGGCTATAAATAGAGCGCTCTCCTCTCCCACTTGTCCCAGGGTTTCACCGGCTGCAGACATACCGCAGTGCCTCGGTGTTCAGTCCCCTCCAGGCGCTCCTCTAATCCCTTGTCTGGGCTCGGGAGTTTTCCTACGAATTTCAGTAATTCAGCTCTTGGTTTCTTACGAATGTCACAGTAATTTCGTCTGGGCCGTGCTGGGAATTTGCTCTCCACACTTTACGGGATCTGGCTGCTGGATATCCGAGAGCGAAAGGGACTTCGCTAAAGACACTCAACTTCTGGGCCTTTTCCTAACAGGATGATGGGGAGATTACAGGGGGTTATGGAAAGGCTGATCTTGCCGGGTTTGGCTGCCGTTCCCACAGCTTTAGCCAAAAAAAATTGTCAGCCTGAGCGGAGTTTGCACTGCTACCGCTGACGGGGACCTCCTGTTTGGCTGCCAGAGGGGACCCCCATCCTGCTGGAGCTGTGGGGGTGTTCTGGGGGGCTGAGCCCTGCCTATAGAAAGCGTTGCGAGCTCTGTCAACGCCGCCGGCTTCTCGTAAAATAAAACATCTCCGTCGCAGAAAGGGGTTTGTTTTGGAAGCTGTGCTCCAAACTTCCCGGCTCCTAATCCCCAGATGCTCAAAAGGCTCTCCCAAGCCGAGCCGCGCTAGCTGGCTGCTCTGCCCTGCCGGGCTGCTGCACCTCGAATTGCGGCGTTAAACAACGTGGTCTTATCTCTGTTGGGTTTGGATATTTATGCTGCAGGTGATAGTTAAGCTGTTGACAAATGCTCTCCTGAAGGATAATTGTAAACAAAGCGACGACCTTCCTTTTTTTATGCCTCCTCCAGGAAAGGATGGTAGCGGCGCGTTATCGCGGTCTGCTTCGTTGGAGCACCGCGGTGTAGGTTGAGAAGAGGGGGCGAGGTGGAAATTAGTGACTCGCTCTCGCCGTGTCGACTGCGGAGCTGCCGCTGCGATGCTTTGAGCAGCACGGCGCATCCCGGAGGGCTTTGCTTTCTCAGTCCTGTTACATACTGGAATAATTAAAAAAAATGCGTTTAGGTGGAGCCCTCTTTAGTGACATCAAGCCTGACGCCGCAGGCGGAAAGAAAAACAGTTGTCCTTTGGGAACCGATGCCACCTAGTCTGGTCTTTGTTTTAGGAGATACAGGAAAGTGGGTTTATCGAGTGAACAGCGCAAGGTGAACCACTGCCTCCTCCCCTGTGAGCGAAAATAGGCATGGGAGATTTGTCGGCTCACGGGGGACTCAACTGCCTGAGCCGGCGGAGGGAGGGACATCTCCCACCGCACTGGGGACAGCCCCGGTTCCTCGGGCGAGCTCAGAGCCCTTCTGAAGTCCTGGCATGCACGGATCTGTTGTGCTCGGCATTTGCTTACGTACAAAGTGGTGTTTCTTCCTATTTGGCCATCCAAGGATAGAATCGGTGTTAAATAGGTCTATTGGTAGTCAGTTTGTTGCACCCCCAGCACAACATTTTTATATTGTGGAAGGTGAAGGGATCCTGATATACAAAAGCCCCAACCATTATCATTATTATTAAAAGATTCCAGTAATTAGTTTATTATTACTAAATACATGCAGCTGTTCTTTTTTCTTTTTCTTTTTCCTTTTTTTCTTTTCTTTTTTTTTTTTTACTGGTGGCAGTAGGAGTGATAATAGCACCTATGAGTTGGAAATAAAGATTAATAACATAATGATCCCAGCACATTTCAGGCTTCAGCTGCCCTCGCCTTGTGGAGGTGGTAGCGGTGGTGATGATACTGCTCCAGTCAGGATGATGAGAGTCCATTCATAATGCTCCCGGAGTAAAGTAATCCCAAATCCCAAAGCAAATACTCTTTTACTACTGAAAACTGTAAAGTGCATTTGCTTGCTGTGTCCTGTTGCACGGTTCCCACGAGATGCTGAACCTCACACAGGCGTGGAAGTTACTAGTCCTGGCACGGGCAGAGGAGTTTTACCCCATTTGGTCAATATTTTTGACCATGGGGTCTGAAGTCCTTGAGCAGAGGAAGTCGTCAAGTTCAGACGCTTGTCTATAAGCATCCTTGATAGAAAATTTTTAGTCTTATCTCCTAAATTTCTGATTCCAATAGATTCTTGATTCCGGGACTGTTAGCCCCGTTTCGTTCCCTCTTAGAAGCCATTTTTACTCATGACTTTGGCTTTGCAATTCTGATGTCTGCATTTGACAGCAGTTGTTTTAAATTTCAGAGGTCCCTCTTTCATCATCTTTAGCAGCAGAAAAGTGATGTTAATCTCTTTTGGTGAAGTACCCTGAGATGTGTGCAAAAATAATGCCATGTCACCTCCTAATGTTGACCCAAAGTGTTGTCTGAGGCTGTAGTAGCAGCGGTGGGGCTGGTGGCAAAGGTATGGACAAAAATTTGCCTCTTTTCTAGGTAACCTGTCTCTGTTGCCTCATTGCAGGTCACACCACGTCCGCCTCCAGATGCTCCAAAATTCCGAATACCAAATCCACCTGGTCGCGCCAGAAGGAGAAGAAGCCCTCTGAGGTATGTGAGCATTTAGGCTTTTGCCAAAGGAAGAGTTTTCCCCCGGGGCCATCCTTGCCCAGCTGTGGTGGCAACCGGCGTGCCCCCGGCTGGCTGTGGGTGCCGGGATAGGGCATCCTCCAAGAAACCAGAGCCCGCCCTGCAGGGCAACAGCTCCTGCCAGCGGTGTCAGCCTCAGCCTCCTGCTCAGCTCTGCTGGGATGGAGCGGGTGGAGGTACATGGTGGGCATCTTGGGTGAAGGGTGGGGAGGTCCTTGTGCCCACTCCATTGGGGTCCTTATGCCCACTCCGTTGATGTCCTTGTGCCCACTGCTTTGGGGTCCTTGTGCCCACTCCTTTGGGGTCCTTGTGCCCACTCCTTTGGGGTCCTTGTGCCCACTCCTTTGGGGTCCTTGTGCCCACTCCTTTGGGGTCCTTGTGCCCACTCCTTTGGGGTCCTTGTGCCCACTCCTTTGGGGTCCTTGTGCCCACTCCTTTGGGGTCCTTGTGCCCACTCCTTTGGGGTCCTTGTGCCCACTCCTTTGGGGTCCTTGTGCCCACTCCTTTGGGGTCCTTGTGCCCACTCCTTTGGGGTCCTTGTGCCCACTCCTTTGGGGTCCTTGTGCCCACTCCTTTGGGGTCCTTGTGCCCACTCCTTTGGGGTCCTTGTGCCCACTCCATTGGGGTCCTTATGCCCACTCCGTTGATGTCCTTGTGCCCACTGCTTTGGGGTCCTTGTGCCCACTCCGTTGACGTCCTTGTGCCCACTCCTTTAGGGTCCTTGTGCCCCCTTCATCCCTGTTGATGCAATGGGGAAGAGGTTGGGTTTGGTGGGATTGGGAGGTCCTACAGTATCGCGATGGCTACATGCTGAGGTTCCCTGATTCGGCTGCCCACCCGGTTGCCCTTTCATTAATGGCACTGATGCCAGGGGAGGGTGGCTCGGTGGCATGGAGGTTCCTCCCGGTGAGTAAGTGGGAGGTATGGAGAGGCGTGAAATGAGAGACAGCACAGCTGAGTTGGAGATTATGTCGTGTTGGTTCCCTCCTGTCACGGGGCTCAAGGGCAGGATGGCCGGGCCGTTGGCGTCTGACCTTGTTGCAAGGTTTTCCCCTCACTCCTTGCTGGTACGGGCGGCGCTGCCCACCCTGGGGGGCAATGCCCAGCTCACCCCTGCCAGCTCTGCGGTGCAGGGTCTGGGCTGGGGTCAGGAGGAGCGGCGTTTCCCCGAGGACCGGGCTGGAAGGGACGATGCTGTGCCCTGCTTTCCCTCCCGCGCCTCGGATACGTTTCCACTAGACGTGGAAACTATACCAGGCATGAGCTGCTGTTGTAGCAACTGCAGTGTTTAGCGGTGGTCATCTTCGTTTCAAGAGCAGCCTGAGCAAAGCCAGAGGGACATTGTTCTCACATTCCCTTTCCTCTGGACCAAGGTCCGGAGTCAAACAGAGCTAAGTTTAGAAGCAGGTGAAGCTGGCACGGCTAATGCCGTCTCGCAGGCTGTAAACTCCTTCCCGAGCCCCCACATTAACGCTTCTCCTGAGGCTGTGGCCCGGTAAGCACAAAGCTCTCTAACATCCTCCCTTTGCATCAAGCCGAGTAGAGATTTTGAGGTTTTCCTGTGGTCACTGCCTGAATTACAGCTGCGCTTAGTTCTTATCGCTGTGACAGATTTACATTGATGTATCTAACGTGTTGGCAGTGGTCAGAGACTTAAAAAGTCGGAGTTGCTTGTGCCTCGGGTAAAGAGAGGGGCTGGAAAGCTGTTTTTACCAGCTGAGGTAATTGGAAACACTCCAGAGAGCAAAGCACCAGGGGTACAGATGTCGCTGGCTGCTGACAAGGTTGTTGGAAAGTTGTGCGTTAGGGCTGGTAATGTCATTTTTTGGTTATAGCGGGGTCTCTCGATGTGGGTGAGGGGGTGTATTTTATCACCTGAATCCTCCATTGAGAAAGTGGAGCATGTGGGGCATCTCCTCCTCCTTGGACACCGTTAGCCCCTCTCTGACATAACCGCCCATCTCTGTGCCCGACGTGTCTGTAACGGTGTGAGATTGGCCGTGTAGGTGCCTTCAGGAGCCCCGCGGAAATACCCGGCGTTAAACCTGGTGAGATGTGCCAGGACGTGACTCAGCGTCACTGGCAGTGCCACATGTGCCACCCTGCTCCTGCCCAGTAAAATCCTCCTCCAGAAGAGCCTGCATCGGGGGATCTCTTTCTGCATCACTGGTACAGACGCGCTTTGGTCTTTAATATGAGGGAGCTTTATCAGCCAGCTAGGAGGTTGCCTGGCTGCTAATGAAGTTCCTGGATATAAATCCAAGCCGAGACTCCAAGTGAAAATGCTTCTGCGCTTCGTGAAGGACCTGTAGACCCAGATGCAAGTTTCACTGCTCTACAGCAGCTGGAGTGAAAGCTGGATCTTCGTTCACGGCACCCGAGGAGACGTCAGATGTGGGACCGCGGAGGCCAGGCTCATCCCTCTGCTTCATGCTCTGTTATGCCCAGAGGATGGTTCTCAGTGAAATGTAGCTCTGGAACAAATAGAGTGGAGCAAAAGCTTAACAGTGCCCAGCTTAGCAACAGTTGGGACAGAAAGTGAACCCCGGTGGCGTATTTGAATTGAAACTCCAGGGGAATTTGGGGAGGCCGTGTGTAATTACTCAAGTTGGAGTTTGGCCAGGATGCTTGAGCTGACAAACCATCTTTTACAAGAGCGTGGTGGGAACCTGAGCAGATGGGACCGGTCCAGATCTCGGCTTTACTCCTCTTACCCTGCATCTCCCCTGCGGCTGCTGGCACCCGGGTCTGCTAGAATCCGGATGAAACCCAGGGGTCAGGAGAGTGTGGAGTGTCCCTGGGGTTGGATGTAGGATTGCCCCGTGCAGCAGGTCCGAGACCTGTAGCAGTGTACAGGTAATGGTTTGGAGCTCACTCCGGTGAGCGCTGATTTATGGATTTCCTCTACAACAGCATCTTCCACACTTTTCCACGAGTAACCCAACTTCTCTTACTGTGAGCACCTGTGAACATGTCTGGTCCATGCTCTGGGTCCTCTGCCAGTCATCTGTGAAATGCTGGAGGTTTGGCACGTCCCAGGGGATTTCTGGCATGGACTGGGATGGACATTGTGTCCTGCTGGAGCAAGTACCAAAAAGTGTAAAACACAAACCACCCCACTGTCAAACCTACTTCATGTGAAGTACTGAAGTACCTTTCTCTTTGCGGTCCCTTTCCATCTCACTGAGGATGGAAACCACGAGAGGGTGACACGGAGAGTGTGATGAATCCCATCCCTGGAGGAGGTGTTCAAGGCCAGGTTGGATGGGGCTTGGAGCAACCTGGGCTGGTGGGAGGTGTCCCTGCCCAGGGCAGGGGGTTTGGAACGAGATGATCTTCAAGGTCCCTTCCAACCTAAACCATTCTGTGATTCTATGAATGTATTATCAGATGTTGAACCCTCCCAGTCAGTCTGCCCCAAACATTTTGGGGCTGGAGAAGCCTTTTCAAACAGTAACTCAAAACTCCAGGTTGACACGTGGCTCGTAGCTTTATCAAGAGCTGAACCTTGGTCCAGGTGGAGGGGGTCCAGGCACATTCCGAGGGCTGGTGATGCCGGAGGCTGGGCTGGGGGAGCGGTGGGGGTTTGCGTGCGTGGGGAACCGCTGAGCCCTCCTGCCCTTCTTGAAGCGGTGTCCGTGTTTCCGTGGGAGCTGCTGTCTGCATTCCCCCTGACAACCCTGGGCAGGAGATAAGAAAAATCAGAAGCATTAGTGTTACATAGTTGTTAGCCGGGTCAGGGGGTGATGTTTATTATGAAAGACTCTGTGAGAAGGGATTAACTATACACATTAAAAACCACCCGATACAAGGCATCTGGAAAAACAAGCTTCTTAACATGGAAAAGTACTGAGCTGTTTGTAAACATCCGCGAAGGGGGCCATTGCCAGGGAGGGTGATTATATTTATCTGTGCCTGTCACGGGGCTCTGCCCGGGCTCTCTCCTGACGTGTCCCAGGCACCAGGCCTCCGTCTCGCCTGCCTCCCTTGCAGAGGTGACGGTCGTCCTCCCCTGCCCCACGCTCTGGGTGGCAGAGACCTCGGAGCAGAGCCCCGCTGCAATGCCGACGGTGCCCCGGGCACGGGCATGGCTCTCCTGCCCTGCTTTTGCCCGTAGGCGCAGGGTGGATGTGGGCAGCTGCCAGCGGCTTCTTGCGTCTGCAGTGATAGCAGTCTACCAATCTGGTCATTTTAATTAATCTCGTAAAAGCTCGTTTGCCTCTGAACCTGGTTTCAAATGGAGCGTGGTGGCCGGTACCCATCCCCGGGGCGCCGCCGGCCGAGGAGCCCTGCGAGGAGATGCTGGTGGTGTTTCCCACACCGGGAGCTGGAGGGAGGGGGGATGCTCGCTTTGGTCCTCCCTGTCTTGGATGCTGAATCTGCAGCGGGGAAGAAGATGTGCTTAAATTATGGATTTCTGCTTCTTTTAGTGGCGCGTTAGTGCCATCCTGCCCCCGGCTATAGGGCTGCTGGGGATGGGAGCGCAAGCCGCGCTGGTTAGACTGCAGTCATCAAACCCTCTCTCCTGTTCCTGACAGGGAACAGTTGTCAGCGTCTAAGGAGAGAATAGAAGAACAAGGCAAGTGTGTAATGATAGTCGTCGGCTCTATCTGCCAGCTCCCTGCCATCGGCGGCCTGAGGACTCCCTCGGCTGCTGCCTCTGAGTCACTGCTGTAGCCGCGGTGCTCGGCACAGCATCCCAGACTGGTGGGGGTGGGAAGGTCCCTCTGGAGCTCAGGGGGAGACTCCCCCACCTCTCTGGGCAGCCTCTGCCACTGCTCTGCCGCCCTCACAGCAGAGAAGGCCCTCCTCGGGTTGAGATGGAATTTCCCATGGTCACAATTGTGCCCGTTCCCTCTTGTCCTGTCACTGGGCACCACTGAGGACAGACTGTTCCCATCCCCCCGGCACCCTCCCTTTGGGGATTTATAAGTATTGATAAGATCTCCCCTCAGTCTTCT